TATCTTACATCCTGTAGACACGTTGCAAGGTCCTGGACAGTTTTAATGATTTCCTGTAGCTAAGGATTTGTTTCAAGGCCAAAGATAATTAATGGGCGGGCCTGTGGCTTAGAAAGTGGTCAGGCAGGAGAGTTCAGCATAATGAGTACAGTAGGTTCTCTAATAATGTCGCTTCATTCAACATTGCCTTGCTTTAACATCGATGAGGAAAAAAGATTATGGATACAGAGAACAAACTGCATCTATAGCTGGGTTGTGGGGCTGGGGGATTGAGGGGCTGGGTGAAAAAACATTAAGGGATTAAGTAGTACAAGTTGGTAGTTACAAAATAGTTATGGGGGTGTAAAGCACAGCTTAGGGAATATAGTCAATAATATTGTAATAATTATACATGGTGTCAGGTGGGTGCAAGACTTTTGGGGGAATCACTTTTTAAAAAATATATATATCTTTATTGATTTCAGAGAAAGGAAAGGAGAGGGAGAGAGAGAGAGATAGAAACATCAATGATGAGTCATTGATTGGCTGCCTCCTGCACACCTCTGACTGGGGATTGAGCCCACAACCTGGGCATGTCCCCTGACCGGGAATTGAACCCTGATTACCTGCATCCTAGGTCGACGCTCAACTGCTGAGCCACACCCAGCGGGGCTGGGGGAATCACTTTTTAAGTTATAGAACTATCTAACCACTATGGTATACACCTAAAACTAATACAGTATTGAATGTCAACTTGTCACAGGCTGTGGGTATGGCACTGGGTGTTAGTCGGGTGGGGTCAGACCAGACTTGGGTTCAGCAAACTTGGTACTTAGGTTCTGTCTAGGAAAGAATTCTAAGTCAAGACCCAAATTGTAAGAGAATTTGGTAAATTACAGAAGTAGAAAAAGTAATTTCTAGAAGAAACAGGCTTAGGAAACAAGTTATGAGGCAAAGGAAGGGCCTTTGGAGGTTGGGAGTGAGGATGCTAATGGTAACATGGGGGGCGGGGAGGAGCGAGCATCTGGCATGCTCCAGGGAGGGAGAGCTCTGGGTTCTCAGTCCTAATGGTTTTCAGGGTGATTTTAGGGGAGATCCCAGGGGAAGATCTTATTATAATATTCAGCAGCTTTCCAGGTGTGTCCTTTCAGGGTCGTGGTCTCCACTGGTTGATTGGTTGGTGCCAGGGTGGGGGTCATTATCCAATGCAGGTGGTCCCGCGGTCAGCTGTGGCTGGTTTTGTTGCTTTTCTGGGCCTAGAGCTGAAAAACAACTGAGGCCTAGGCTTCTCTCTAGAGAGAGAAGAGGTCAGGGGGTCCAAACCACAAGACCAGCGATATGCTAGGGGAGGAAAGGCCACACTGGGGTTGAGGTCCCACCCTACAATTGTCCATTGCTATGCACCTTGGGCTTTCCACCCTGAAGACATGCTGCACCTGGCCCATTGTCCTTGCTCTGCTCATGTCTTTTAACTGCCTATCACAATCCCAGAACCATTTATTAAAAAGGTTATCCTTTCTCCATTGAATTGCCTTTGCTCCCTTTTCAAAGATCAGTTAACTATATTTGTGTAAATCTATTTCTGGGTTCTATTTTGTTCCATTAACTTAAATTTCTGTTCTTTGCCAATACTGTCCTGTCTTGGTTACTATAGTTTTATATTAAGTGGTCCAGTTGGGTAGTGTCTCTCTTCTGGCTTTGTTGTTCTTCAGTATTGTATTGGTTATTCTGGGTCTTTTGCCTCTCCATATAAACTTTAGAATTGGTTTGTAAATATCCTTAAAATAACTTTCTGATATTTGCATTGAATCTATAGATCAAGTTGATAAAAACAGACATTACTTACCACTGTGTGTACACATAAAATAATACAAAATAATACTGAATGTTTAATTAAAAATTAAAAAACCCGGACATTTTATATATATATGTGTTTTGCATATAACATTTAGGTTTTTAATTTTCTAGGATTAATTTTTATACAGTGATCAAAAAATTTTCCCATATGAAGAGCTATTGTTCTAGTACCATTTATTGACTAGCCTGTCCTTTCCTAATTTTTGCCAATGTAAGAAACATATAAACTTGTAGATTTTTTATGAGTTTATTTGAGCCCAAACTGACAATGCCAGGAAACCAGATCTCAAATGCCCAGGATAATGAAAGTTTTGCAGTTTCTTTTAAGCTTTTGAAATTAAGCATAATCTTTACATTACATGAAGATGAGAAAAAGCAAAATTATGTGCTCTCTTGAGGGTGGTCACACTTTCAAGGGGTATTACTTCTAGCATTTCAAAGGTTTGTTAACCTAGATGCACAAGGACAATGGACAGGGCTTGCTTAAAACCTTTCACTAAAAGCTTTTCAGATGGGCATGACTACCTAGCATGACCTCCCCATTTAGGGATTTATGATTTATTATAGCATCCCTTTTCATCCACATTTTTAATGCCACCTTTGTCATATTCAGAATTCTCATATATGTGTTGGTCTTTTTCTGCAGTCTTTGTTATGTTCTACTGGTCTATTTGTCCATTCCTAAATGTTATACAATAAATACTGGTAGGATGGGTTCTCCCAACTCATTCTTCAAGGCTCCCTCACCCACAAAAAATTATAGCAGCTTTTCTTGGATCTTAAGTTTTGGTATAAATTTTAATGTCATTTCAACAAATTCTGTGAAAAACCCTGTTGAAATTGTAATTGTAATTGCATATACTTATTGATTAGTTCAGTAAAACTGAGATCTTTGTTATAAGTATCTTGTCTTATTTATGAATATGGTTTACTTCTCCATTAATATAATTTCATCAGCAGAGGTCTTGCACATCTTTCGTTAACTTTTTTTCTTAGGTACCTAATAGTTGTTTTATTTATAACTGTTAATGGATGTTTCTTTAAAATTGTAAACTTGTGCAGTTCCCAAAATATTTTTTTAAATAATTTGCTAGTAGACCATTTTACAACTGAAAAGATTTAAAATTCTTAAAATGTCAATAGTTTACAAACTACACAAAATTACAAGAGATACTATCTGAAATGTGAAAGTTTTAATATATTATTTCTCCCCAAATTGAAAGAAACACATAATCTGGCATTTCTTGTAGTGCATGATTTAAAAAAATATATATGCCTTAGTCTGGAAAATGTTGAAATCTCCTTCCTTGCTGTATCATAAAACTGTGTTTTCTTTCCCCTCTTTTTTTTTTTGGGGGGGGGGCTTAATTCACTTTATTTTTCTGCTATGAAATTATGTGGCGGCCACAGCTGGAGCCTGGGTCCTTTGCACAGAAACTCTGGTGTGGGTCTTTACAAGATGGTCAGTCAATTCCCTCTTTTTAGTTTATGCCCTTAACCATTACGGACAGTGAGCTATTTACTTTGTGATTTACAAAGGTAAGTTTTTCTGAACGATCAAAATGTAAACTCATGCTAATAAGGTAATTAAACATTTTGAATGTTCATTAAGCTGAATCCAGTTAGTGATTTAATTTACCTCTAACAAACCCATTCACTATGTCACTATGTCTTAAGTGCTACAGGAAAAACATAGATTAAGAGGTCAAATCTCAGCCCACTTTCACCAATCGTAAGGAAAATCAGGAAGTCCCAGTGAATGACGTGTGGGCTGTCCAGTTTCCAGCATTCCCCTAACAGGGGGCATGGCTGCTGCAAGACTCAGAGTCCAAGTCCTAAGGCAGGCATTTTAAGGTCCGCTCAGGGATACCATCAAACGGGCATCCGGCCGTCTCCACTCAGGCGCTGAGCCTCGTAACTATTCTCCTTTCCCTGCCTTTCATCTTCGCTCCAGACTATAACCCGTTTTCCCCGGCTCTAATTCTCAGTATGGTCAAACATCTGACCTTAAAAATAAATCTTGAAGTGCCGTCGTCTAATCCGAGTATCTTGTTTGTGCCGTATACCGCGATCTCAGTCTACGTCCCGCGGAAATTCAGTCGCCAGCCCGACCACGGGGCCCCTCAGAGCCCGGCAGCTCTGCCATCGCCGCGACCCAGTCACCCCGCTCCCCAAGCTCAGGCCGCGGTCAGAGGCGGCTCTCGGGGTTACCGCAGGGCCTGTGCCTGCTTCCCAGAAAGCCCAGCTCCAACCCAGACCCCAAGGCCCTCCCGAGCAGGTGAGCTAAAGCTTCACTGCCTTTGGGGTCTCGGCGGGGCGCAGGCCCATTCCGGAGGAGGAGCCGGCGTTTTCCCGATTATCAGCGCGCCCCGGAGGGCGTCTGAGAGCAGCC